CGATGACAACAACAGGACCAAATCGGCAACGTATGGTCAAGACTCAAGTCGCAGAAAAATTTCAGCTTGTAGGATTTTTTCTAATTTCAAAAGCCCCAAATCGATTTTGCACATTTAGGGTTTGGGTGGATTTGTCAATTTTAAAACTATAAAATTATATATTGCCCCCTAATGGTTTTAAAACTATCACACAAACACTCGAGCTTGCTAAAGCTCATGAGCTTGGCGAGCCAAGTGGTGGCTTGTTTGAGATCAACTCGAAATATTAGTTAAGCCAATCGAGCTCGAGCTTGGCTTGATAATAGTCAAGCCAAGCTTGAGCTTTAGTCGAGCTGAGCTCGAGCGGCTTGGCTCGGCTTACACCCCTACAAATGGGCACTGTTTTCTAATAGTTTGAAAATTTTAAGAGTCAGTAATATCCCTAATTTAAATGTTTTTAATTGTACCCATAATTTTTTTAAAAGAATAATAAGAGAATAATTATAAATAAGATTTTTGTGTTTTATATTAAAATCAAAAAATGAAATAAATGATTGATATTTTATTAATTGTCTATATAGCATTTTTGTTAGCCTAGAACAACTCATTCATAATTTTAATGATAATTATTTTTTTCCTTAATTAAATCATGTTCTCATTAAATATAAATTTTATTATTTTCCTCTTAATGGAGTCTGTCCAGGAAAAATTGTTTACTTATTTTTTTCTTAAAAAAAAAAAAAAAAAACTATGAATTGAATAGATGATTAGAAATTACCCACACAGATATATTTAAGCAATATCGCATATAAGATTTTGAGAATTCATCCAAACTATAGTTACAAAAATAATTTTGTTGGTGTCAAAGTCCCACATCGGTTAGGAGACGAGGGCCTTGGTCGCAAGGGCTGAGCAGGTCCACGTACCCGCCAAAATCCCATGAAATCAGAACTGAAACTTGCCGGTTCTAGTATCCTAAAAGCTTGGAACTAAAACCTGAAACAGAGGTTCCAGTTCCAGTTACGGGTACATGGGAAAAATTCATTACCCTTGACTGTTCACAACATTGATAGATACACTCCCAAAAGTTTACAAAAACTACAATTTAGTCTTGGTTCCTACTCGGGTGTCATTTTTGGTTTCGGTTCTCGGTTCTGGTTTCGATTCCTGTAGTGGTGGAACTGAAACTGGAACCAAAACCACACAGTACCAATTCCAACTTTTTGGAATCGGAATCGACACTATGAGGGCCAGTTCTGGGTAGGAATCGGAACTGGAACCCCGAGTACTCGTTAGTTCCAGTTCTGGTCGGTTCTTTTGCAGACCCCTATGGGTCGCTTATATAGCACAGGAAAATCCTCACCACCTAAAGGCGTCTTTTAATAACCAAACCATGTAGACCCCAAGGCCCAAAGCAAACAATACCTCTAGGAACCCACCTACTATGTGTCTAGATCTACCATACATCAACAAAGTCAATCACCAAAAAGTAAGCATTGTTTCTTCATAGAAATTAAAAGTAATATTTTGCATTGTATTTACTAAAAATAAGTTATTAAATTTGATTATTATTTTCGATTTAAAATACCTCTTAATTAAAAATTAATATTTAAATAGATAGTTTAATATTTTTATTTAATTATTCAATAAAGATTATAATTAATGCAATTATTAAATTATGTATCAAATATTTAATTGATTAATAATGATATTCATTGATGACCTAAACAAGACGGACCACTTGTCACACTAGTCTCCACTAGACCTAAGGGATCAGGTCTATTTCATATTTTCAACTTTGTTTTAAAAATGGACCGAATCGATCGGTTGGACCAATCCAACCGAAACTCAATAGCCTATCTGGTCCGAGTTACCATTTTTCACTATTCACAAAATCCCTAATTTGATCATTAGTGAACAAGGGGCTATCAAGTGCTAGGGTTAGAAGACTTTTGTAGAGTGGAGGTCGGTGGTCTAAGGGAGGTGTCGGATTGAATTTTGGATGCTGAAACAAGCTAAAATTTAGCTGAAAAATTCAACACAATATGTGAGTCACGACCGACGAACGGGGGGCTACCAAGTGCCAGGGTTAGAGGGTTTTGTAGAGTAGAGGTCGATGGTTTAGGTGGTGGTGTTTGATTCAATTTTGGACACAAGAATTAGCCGAAATTTGGCTGAAAAATTCAACCCAATCACAATGGTGTACATGAGTCATGATTGGCAAATGAAGGGGCTACCAAGTTTCGAGGTTAGAGGGGTTTTGTAGAAAGGAGGACGGTGGCTCAGGTGGTGGTGTCAGATTGAATTTTGGCTACTGAAATCAACTGGAATTTGGCCAGAAAAGTCAAAACTCAAACAAATTATAGGGGTGTATTTGCTAGATTTCAAACTTGTAAGGATTGATTGAATTTTTTGGGGTGTGTTTGTAAGATTTTAAACTTTTTGGATCAATAAAGAATATTAGTTTAACCGGTAGGACCGGTTGACTCAGGACCCGATGGCCTTACCGAGTCCCTTAACGGGTCAGGTTTTAAAATAACGATTTTCATTGCATTTAGTGTGTTGCTGTTCATAGATTTACTATCCAACTACTTCAAAATTTAGCCAAACACGGGTGTGCCACCAATTTAGTCTTCTCCGATTGAATAATATTGTCCTGTCCAATATATATATGTTTTTAGATTATCACTCAATCCTTAATTAATATTGCCACACAAATTACATTTACAAATTCTTTCATGCTATCTATTACAATTTTATGTAGCTGTTATCTCATCTATTTTTGTGTTCTTTTTTATTATTTATTTCTACTGATTCATTAATTTTTGTGTTAAATAAACTTTGTATAAATATTTTATCTATAATATCATTCCTCTTGCTTTTAGATTTCTAATTCTTTAATTTATGAATTTGTGGATGCAAAGTTAAGAGAAATATACGGCACATATTTGGGACCCTGATATAAACATAGTCAAAAAAACCTAATCATATTTCTGTATCAATTATTTCAACATTTTACTACTCTTTCGTTGCAATTTAATTTAGTGAAACGCTTCAATCTCTCACATTCTTTTAATGAAACATGAATATTAACTCTTTGAGAAAAATATTTATTGAAATTAAAAAATATATATGTTTTAATTTATTGACATCTGATACAAGATAAAAACTTGAAATTGCGAAAAATAAGAGAAAAAAAAAAAAAACCCAACACAATGGATGACCAAATGGTAAAACTGTATGACCAATCAGTCAATGACTGAAGCTGCAAATAGTGCCACATGATGTAGTATAAGAAATAATGTTATATTTATATTACTCCTTTACACCATTTTCATTACATCATGATGTGGTATATCATAATCACACAAATATTTGCATGGTTATGACATATGCTATATCATAATGTAATAAAAATGATGTAAAAAATGGTGTAAGTGTAGTATTACTCATCATATAAGTCTTTCTCCCAATATCTAATCTTCTAAAAATGGACAAACAACTTGCACCTAACTATAGTTTGCCTTAAAGACAATTTGATATTCAAAAAATTTGAAAATAACCGATAGCTATTTTCCGTTAGATTTGTTAAGGATTTCCCTTTATTAAAGATAACAGTGATTTAAAAGACTGAAATGCCCTTTACAGTTTGATATTCCTTTTTATCCTCATCTCTGTCTCTGTTTTCATCTCTTTATCTTCCTCTATACTTTAGCAGTCAATAATTCCCTTTTTCTCCGTCCCTAATCCACAGCCACCGTTCTATTCTACCCTTCCCTAGCACTACCTCCAACGCCTTAAATCCCACCAATCCTCCTCTGTCTCAAATCCCCCCAACGCCTCCCACCCTACCACTACCTCCACTCCACTTTATTCGCCGGCCACTAATATTAATTCACTCTCTCCTCCCTCAATCAGCCACCGTTGTTTTCTCCTCTATTAATCTCAGGGCACAAAGATCTCCACACCCCTTCTTTTTTCCTTTTTATTTTCTTAAAAAAAAAAGCCCAAAAGAATTTATTGTGACTATTTTGATTTTTTACTGAGGATTATGGAGCTGCAGGTTGTTTTGCGCTGTGAAGTGGGTGCGGATGATGTCTTTTTGGGGTTGTTGGGCGGGCTAATAGGTTGCTGGACATGAGGAAAGGGTGAGGTGGGTTTGTTGGGATGGGAGCAAGGTGAATGGGGTGGGTGGGTTTGCTGGGTGAAAGAGGGAATTATTGGCTGCCAAAGGATGGTGAGATTCGCTTCTGAAGAAATTCTTCAAGGTTATGAAGATGTGTTTGTTGGTGGTTTTGAGAAGTTTGCAACGGTGGAGGAGGGGGGAGATTGGACTGGACTGTGAAGTGGTTGTGTAGATGATTTTACAAGAAAGAGATCTTGTGAAAGAGGTTTTAGGAAATTTAATTTTAATTAGAGTAAATATAATCAGTAAAAGTTATCCCTTTACCATTTGAATTCTGGCAAAATCCAAGAGAGAAGAAGAAAGGGAAAAATAAAGAGACGGAAGAAAACAGAGACCAAACAGACACGACGAAGTGAAGATAAAAAATTTCAAGGGCATTTCAGTCTTTTCTATATTATTATTCTTTAATGATAATACGACGGAAAATAATTGTTTGTCATTTCTAAACTTTCTGGATATTAAACTTTTTGGATATTAAATTGTATAAACTATGGGTGGGTATATGTCCGTACGGCATGGTAGCTCCCGGCCAAGTCCAGTAATTTTACATTTTGTGTCTTCTCAATCTCGGGAATGTCTGAAGGTCTTTTGAAATCTAAGTACAATTACCCTTATTTAATTAGGCCAAAAGCCATTCTCCTACCCCAAGTTTGCCTCAACGACATTTCATATCCAAAAAGTTTTTAAAATGACAATTACCCACTTTCCCTTAGTATTTGTCCATTAAGTTTAATTAAAGAAGGATATGACAGTGAATTCAAAAACAAACAAAGGTTAATTATGTGTATATATATATATATATATATATACTCTACTCCCATCTTCATCACCACTATCGACACTACCGCCGGCCGTTTGCTACTATTCTTACCAGATTCTTCATTGGAATCGACAGGAAAAGCCACCCTAACCCCGAGCACACACTTACCTAGCCTTACCGATTGTTTTTTGGTCGGATTTTCACCTCCCCGCAACACACAAACAACCGTCCCCCACCGCCCGCCCATCATATTTAGGCCAAATTGGCCTGAAGTGGTTTTGTGATTTCGGAAAACCCAACCATTCACCGCCGATCATCCTCCTTGCCCAGCCTGCCCACCAACCGTTCGTGAAAAGTCCCCAGCCAACCCAGCCATCTCCTTGCTCATTCAGCTTCCTTTTTGCGTGTGCATTGCAGTGCACAATTCCGACCACCACCTGTATGCTTTTTTGCCACAACCAGCTCCCTACGTGCAACCCCCTACTTGTGCACGATTTATGCGCACGTACCCCACAGGCCTGCCTACTGGAATCGCACCTGGACGGGTGTGATTCTAACCGGATAAGATTTCAAGGAGAGGGTATTTTTGTCTTTACAGTTACTTCCATGTTAGGTAGCGAATTTTATAAACACATTTTAACTGTAGATGAATAATTATCGTTTTGAAACTTTTTGGTTACGAAATGGTCTTTAAGGCAAACTTCGAATGGGAGGCATTTAATTGATATAGAAATCCTTATTTTTCTCGTGCGTTTTTAAAACTGTTGATTAAGTTTATTCAAATCATGTACGTCTACACAATTTACAGCAACGTTGAGTTGACAGTTATCCAATAGTCCTTACCTGATTTTAATATGAATGGCAGTTAGGAAATTCATCTTCTAATTTCCGACTGACATACGCACACTGAAATTGAAAATTTCGTACATATACCAACGGATAATTCACTACTTCACTCTGAGATAAGATTAGTGTTATGCAACTTCCACTTCAACAATTAGCAACGTTGACTGTTATCTAATATTCCTTACCAGATTCTAATATGAATGGAAGATAGGAAATTCAGCTTCTAATTTCCGACTCACACGCACACTGAAATTGAAATTTTCGTACATGTATAAATGTACACTCACTTATACCAACGGAGAATTCATTATTTCACTTTGAGATAAGATTAGCTCCTCGTTATATCATGCCTTCAAATCATTCCAAATTCTCAAGTTTGGTTTTGTCGTTTGTTTTTCTTTTTCTGAGAAATGCAGATTGTGGGCAAATTGTGAGGACATTGCCGGGATATGCAGGTTCTCTTCCTTTCAAACTTGAAACTGGGTAAGTATTGAAATTTAATTTGGTCACTTTTTCACATTTGTGTAAAGTGAAGTATGTTAATTTTTAAGAGGATTTTTGAAAACTCAGATATGTGAGCGTGGGGGATTCAGAGCTCTTCTACTTGTTTGTGGAGTCGCAAGGAAATCCTGAAGTAGATCCTGTTCTTTTTTATGTAGTTGGAGGCCCTGGTTGTTCCGCTTTAAATGGTTTTTTCTTCCAAACTGGTATCTCATTTATCCTCTTCTCTCTTGTACATTCAAATATGGGAATGGGTTTATTTTTACAACCCCTTGAATTACACTCAAAAGTTTTCAAAAATTATTAAAAATCCCCTTATAATTATTAAAACCCTATTGAGACAGTGGGATTTTTTTAATAATTTAAGGGGGATATATTCAATTACTATAAAGGGTCTTTTAATATTGATAAGTTTAAGTGTGCTAATGTTAGTTAAACAATCTTGTAAAGTGGTGTATGAAATAAACCTTATTGGAATATATTAATAAATTACTATTTCCTTAAATAAATATATTAGGTAGGTATGGTCAAATTTGGCTTGATAACTAAGATGAGTGTGATTTAGGATTCTAAAGCGTACTATTTTTATCATTATCATTATGTCACGATGTCGTTTTGTTGGACAGTGCTATAGGAATATATTAAGAAATGCTTATATTCAAAATTATAGATCTGCCTTAACTTTGATATATATATATATATTTTATGTAGGTCCACTACAGTTTACTCAAACTGACTACACTGGTGGCTTGCCATCGTTGCATCTGTATCCCTACACATGGACAAAGGTGCCAAAATTTTAAGCTATACATGGCATTAATTTCATTAAAAAAATCATGTTTTATGATTTTATAATGGTGATAAATTTATTTAATTTTGCAGACTGCCAGTGTAATTTTTGTAGATTCACCTGTTGGCTCTGGTTATTCTTATGCATCAACCGCCGCAGGTTTCGTTCTCTCAGACTCGAAGTTTGCAAATCAAACTTACAACTTTATGAGAAGTGTGAGTGAAAGTTTAATATAAAATTCTGCTTTAACTTAACAGAATTTTATGTTGGCACAAGCTCTCATAGATCTTAATTATATTGTGCATTATTTTATTTTAATTTTTAATTGGAAGCAGTGGTTGAATGAGCATCCTCAATACATCCCAAACCGAGTTGTTCTTGCTACTGATTCTTATTCTAGTATCATTGCTCCAATTGTCGTTCAAAAACTATTGGAAGGTAATTATTGAAGCCAATTTTGTTAATCAACATTAGGGCATGTATATTTTTGTTATTAGTTTATCCAACGTGTCAATTATATATACGTGGCATTGCAGATAATAGAGCCGGAGTTGAGCCATCAATAAGTATACTAGTAAGGATATATACACTTATACTAATTCAGCCCTTTTGGTTCATTATGCTAATTATGAATTTTAATTAACTGTAATTTCTAATTACTTTCTATGAATTAATTAATCAGGGATACATAAGTGGATCACCACATTCAGATCTTGAACTTGAAGACAATGATAAAATACCACAAGCTCATCAGCTGGGACTTATATCTAAAGCTATTTACGAAGTGAGTCATTGCATTTCTATAACTAAATAAGCAGTTTTTTTAGGTCAATAATATTAATTACACTTTATATTTCGATCGCTAAATCTAATTAAACATAAAATTCAATGTTTAATTAATTGCTTTTCACAGTCAGCCAAACACTATTGCAACGGCTCTTACGTTGATAAGGGTACCACTACCATCAGTGCGGATTGCGAAGAGTATTTGGAAATAACAGATAATGTACGATTGATGTGTGATCACATTTTCTTCTTTCTTAGACTCAACTGCTTCACTGTGATGTAAAATGTTATATATTAAGAAAGCGTTAATTTGAATATTGTAGTTACTGGAACAAATAAATACAGAAATGGTGTTGGCTCCCAAGTGTGCTACAATAAAACCAAAATCAGATAACGATAGAAGGAAGAGAAGATTTTTGAAGGAAAATTCAAAACATTATCGCCTTCCGCCTGGAGCAAATGACTATTGGTGCAAGGTAATCTTTATCATCAAGATTTAGAGCTGTTCTTGTTGATGTAATTGTTAATTTCTAAATAACTTATGTTAATTTGCAGAATTTTGCTTATCTACTCTTGACTATATGGGCAAACGATAAAGCTGTTCAAAGTGCTCTGCATGTCCGAGAGGTATTAACATATATTCAAGAATAGTGAGAGATTGAGATTTTAATTATTTTTATATATGACATTAAAATTTGTATTTTATTTGGAAGCAGGAAACAATTCAAGAGTGGCGTAGGTGCAACCTTACCTTGTAGACTTCCTATGATATTGATATTGGGAATAATTTTGACTATCACAAAAATCTTACAAAAACAGGCATCCAAGTTTTACTTTATGGGTAACCTTATTGGAGCTTTACAGATTCATTATGATAATATATCTAGCCTCTTCTCATACCTCGAATTCCAGCATAACAATATAATTTTTTTATTTTGTGCAGTCCTGATCATGATTTGGTTGTTCCACATATATCAACCGAATATTGGTTAACTATACTCGATATAACTTTGGATGAAGATTGGCGACCGTGGTATGTTAGTGGTCAAGTTGCAGGGTAAGTTTATAAGTTTGGAAACTTCTTACAATCTAATCTTTTCAACTTTCTTTAATTTGATTCAATATGATACTACATTCCATATTTATATGTGGCAATGCTTCTTCAATTTAGGTACACAATGAAGTATTCAAATTATGGATATCGACTGACTTATGCCACTTTAAAGGTAAGAATTAAGAACGATAGTTAGTTTCTTCAATTTGTGAGAAAGAGTTTTTAAGTAAATTATTGAAGCTAATATTATGGGCAAATTTTGTACAGGGAGCTGGTCACTCTCCTACTGAGTGGAAAGGTAGAGAATGTTATGAGATGTTTGAAAGGTGGATCCACTTTTATCCACTTTAGTTAGCCTCTTTTATTTCAAGATTTTCCATTAATGATCGTTCTCTGCAGAAAGACTTTTTGTATTTATTATTGTTTTGCAGAACATTATGGTTGCATTAGTTACACTTTTCATACTCTATTCTATTTTATTATCCTATCTAATCCAGTGAAAAATATGTTTGTTTTAATATTGACTATTCAATTCAAAATCTAATCATATTCTATTCAACTCAAAACATTTAACAATTACATTTTATAATAAAAGTTTATAAATTAGCAAAAACACCCCCACCCACTCAAGCCACTATCACCTGCTAGTAGATACTACCGGTGCCGCTGCCATTGATGGCAGTCGAAGTCGGAATGACACACGCCCGACTAGATTTAGCCCATCATGCACCGATCATGCCTTTTTCGGTCAGATCCATCGTGGATCTAGCGAAAACGGTTAGATCTATGGCTAGAGATCTGGTTGTTAACAGTTAGATCTATTTAGCCGTTGACAACGACCATATCTTGGCTGTCGTTGATAGCTAGATTTTGGCCGTTAACGGTAGCCATAAATCTGGTCTTAGATCTAGCATTTTCCGACTAGATCCATGGTGGATCTGGCTGGAAGAAGCAAGATCGATGCAAGATCAGCCAGATCTAGCCTGTAATGCGCCATTCTGACAACTAATGGCCATCGTCCGACGGTGGTGGATAGCTACCAGTAGTCAATTGGGCGGGTGAGGTTGTTTTTGTTAATTTATAAACTTGTATTATGGAGGTGTTTAGCTAAATTAACAAATATAGGGGGTTAAAAAATAATCTAAATGTTTTCAGCAAACGTTTTCCAATAATACACCAAACACATTCTCAAAATCTTATCCTAAAATGTATTTAGAATATGATTTTAGAAATCCTATTAAAAAAGTGTACTAAACATAGCTTATGTTTATGTAGTTGGACAACACAAGATAAATTAAGGTGGATATCTATGATTTTCAAGCGTAAAGGCTACGCTACCGCTTTGGAAGATCACCAACAACACAATTAACACAAGATAACATAAATGATAAAAACCTAACAATCCACGACTTAAAGGCTATGCCACCAACCAATGGAAAATAGACACAACAAATAACAACTTACAAATTAAAGATAGATATCAATGAACTCCACAACGTAAAAGCTAAGCTACCAGCTATGGATATCACTGACAAGCCAATATCTCAAAGACGTAAAAGCAAAGCCACCGGTCAAGGAAGAACCACCACCAAATCTTGGCTGAATTTGGATAAGGATAAGACTGAACAACTCTCACTAAAGCTCTCACATTTTCATTCCAACAATTCAATCTCAACTTGTGTTACAATGAAGGAGAAGACCCCTTTATATAAGGTTACATTGGACGCCACATTGGAGAGAGAAATACAAAGTCAAATTCAAATTACAATGAAAAGATAACTTATGACAACATTGCTACAAATGGAAAGAGACAATGAGCCGAGCCAAGAAAGAAAATCTTGTGTTTGCCCGAAATGGAACGTCTTGAGCCGCACAAATGTCATACTTGCCATAGCTTTGTCTCCTCATTGAATGAATCCATGTGCTCCTAATTGACTCCATTTGAATTGTTTTCCCTCCATGCAAGTACATTGGCTTTCCTTCATGGATTTGTCTTGGCCCAAATAAAGATTGATAGGCTTGAATGTCTTGAAGGTGGAATCACATCACTTTAATTCAAAAGGCTCTATCTTTTCCTAAATGGAAATATTATCTTGTTAGAATGACAATCCACAAAATATGTAGTAAACAGATCACTCATCAGAGGCTCATGATATTTGATGATGGACAGTGAGTGATAGCCGACATATATTCCCAAACGATTTTAGGGTCACATTTTGGTGCATTGAGGGGGTACAATTGAAACTTGCACAACACAAGTTTTTATATAGGATATATTAGGCTGATGTCCAAATACAAGTTCTGTTGGGGAGTATTTATGATATGTAATGGGTCTTAGGCAAATTAACGCTGCAACATGTAAAACAAAATGAGTAGGGGCTAAGTCAAAGTATAATTAGTAAGGTCACTTGACCCCACTGAAATTATGAAATTATAGGTATATATTTTATAGTAATTAACAATTTTGACCCTACTAAAATTACTCATATTTTATTGACCCCACTAAGATATTTCCATATTTTATTGATCACAAGAATAAAAAATACCCATATTTTTTTCACATTTTCTCTCTTCCTCAATTCCTCTCCTCTTCTCTCATACTTTCTTTTTCCTTTGGTTGGATTAATCAAGAAAGACTACTCATTTGGAGGTCACAAGTTAAGATGATGCTCATTTTTTGTTATTTTGCTTAAATATCACTTATTCTATCTTTCTTAATTGATGAAAGATCATAGGCTATGTTGCCCTAAGTTATTCTTATCATTTTATGTATGTAATTGACATATTTGTATGTTAAATGAGCCATGTTTAGTTAATTTTGGGTAATACGTTTTTGTTTTTGTTGAGTTTAATAAATCGGTTTGAAATTAGAAGATTTTGATGTGGATTTTGATTTAATCTTGTTTATGTTGAGGTATGGGTTAATTAGTTGTTTTAAGTTGGGCTTGATAAATTTTGGTTAGTTATTTAATTAATTTTGAGTGGGTTTAAAGAATTGGTGAAACCCTAAGTTGTAGAGATTTGGGGATTTGGTTTAATTTTGATATATTGATTAATTGTTTGATATTTAGAGCTGGATTTGATAAGTTTTCATGGGTTTATAAATTGAATTTTATTAGGTTAGTGAAAATTGTTTGAAAAACCTAAGTTATAAGATTTGAGGCTTTGATTTATAGTTGATGATTTTGATAAATTAAGTTGTAATTGTTGTTTAAGTTTAGGAATATGAAGGTTTTAAGGTTAGCACATGTTAATTCTTGAATTTTGTGTTGGCTTTTTTGGATTTGTAATTGCAAATTAATTATTTTTCTGATAATAATTATTTTTCTTTTTTTAGTTATGGACAAGTTTGTGATAAAAAAAAAAAAGTTTCTAATGAGGAACCATCAATTGAATAAAACATAAGGCATCACGATAGTATTCACAATGAGCATATGGAATATAGCTCAAGAAAAACATATGTTGAGGTTAACTTTAGTAGCCTTCCTACAGATCCTAGATTGAGGATTAAAATTTCATAATATCATCCTATTGATAGAGAAAAAGTGAGAAGGGTCTACTTGCAAAAAAAAAGACCTTGCCAACCATATAATCATAATTTTAAAAAGTGAAAAATTGAGAATTTAATATGTCGTTTTAATTCCAATTGGTGTAAAGAATATGCAAATTAGTTAGAGTATAGTGTAGAAAATGAGGTTGCTTTTTGTTTGTGTTCTTATCTTTTTAGACCTAAGATTGGAAAACAAGTAGGCAGTGACTCTTTTATCAGTGAATGTTTTGATGCTTGGAATAAAAAAGACAAATTGGATATTCATGTAGGAGGTCCTAATAGTGCCCACAATCAAGCACAGAAAAAAATGAAGCTTTAATGAGACAAGATCAACATATTGAAGTAGCTCTTAATAGGCATTCTAACCAAATGAAAAAAGAATATCAACTTCGTTTAGGCGCCTCAGTCGATTGTCTTCGGTTCCTTTTAAGCAAGGTCTTGCTTTCCGTTGTCATGATGAATATGATTATTTAAAAAATTAGGGAAATTTCCTTGATCTTTTAAAGTTTCTAGCGATGCACGATGAGAAAATTATTGTTGTTGTTGTTGGACGAAATGCTCCAAGTAATCTTAAGTCAACCTCCCTTGATATTCAACATGCCATTATTAATGCTTTTGCCATTGAAACTGTTAAAGCTATTATTCATGATTTGTGGAGATGATTTGTTTGCAATTTTAGTGGATGAATCTCGCAATATATCTATATAAGAGCAAATTATTGTTGTGTTACGTTATGTTGACAAAAGAGGACATGTAATTGAGAGATTTCTTGGCATTATTCATGTTAATGATACAAGTGCTTCTTCTCTTAAGTTATCAATTGATTCATTAATTTCCAAGCATGGATTAAGCATATCAAAGGTAAGAGTGTAGGGTTATGATGGAGCTAGAAACATAGAGACGAATTTAATGGATTAAAAAGTTTGATCATGAAGGAGAATGAATCTGACATATTATATTCATTGTTTTTCTCATCAACTTTAACTTACACTTGTTGCTATTACAAAAATGATGTTCAAGTTGGAAGTCTTTTTAACATGGAAGTTGATCTAGTAAATGTTGTTGGAGCTTCTTGTAAGCGGAGAGATATCTTTCAAGAACATCAAGTTACTCATGTTTCTGAAACATTAGCAAATGGTAAACTTACAAGTGGACGTGGACTGAATCAAGAAGCTACGCTTTAAAGAGCAAGAGATGTACGTTGGGGTTCACATTATGGTACGCTTTAATATTTGATTGTTATGTTTTCATATGTCATAGATTTTCTTCATAATGTTGTTGAGGATGGTTTAGATCCTAAACAAAGAGCTCAAACCTCTACTTTGTTAAAGTTTATACAATCTTTTGATTTCATATTTAGCTTACATTTGATGAAGACTGTGTTAGACATTACAAATGAATTATCATATACCTTACAAAGAAAAGATCAAGATTTTGTTAATGTAATGAAATTGGTGAAGTTATCAAAACAAAGGCTACAAATGTTAAGAGATGATGGTTTGTTAACTAAAGTTTCTTCACTTTGTAAAGAAAATGGTATTATTGACTCAGATATGAATGAAAATTTTCAAATGAAAGGGTGATCGCAATGCAAAGTTCATCAAGTTACAAATTTACATCATTATCAGGTGGAATGTTTTTTTTTTTTTATGCTACTATAGATTTACAACTCCAAGAGCTTAATAGTTGTTTTAATCAGTTGAATACAACTTATTAGTTCTTTGTGTGGCATGATTAAGTCCAAATGATTCATTTTCCGCTTTTGCTTTTGACAAAGAGATCTTGATCCATCTTCCTCAGTTTTGTCCATGTGACTTTTCACCGGTGGAGCTTGTGTTACTAAATAATCAATTGGATACTTATATTCTTGAGATGCACTCTGATAATGATTTTTTGAAATTTAATGGAATTGGTTCTCTTACTGAAAAGTTGGTTCAAACAAAGACGAATATGG